TGTGTGTCCCCAGCTGATAGAGCTCTGTGTAAACCTCTCCAATACAAACAGTTCCAAGCCCACCTCTGATGGTTTAAAACCTTCTGCTTAGTTGGATTTCTACATTCTTGCAAGGAAACCATGCCACCAAACCCCGGACTCCAGAACAGCCTACAAGACTACAAGCTTTGGCCAGCTCTTGGGGTTGAAAGGGATTGTACTACATATATGCACAGACTGCTGTTTTAAAACTGTCTGAATAGCTTTGTGCCTAGTACTTTGATCTTAAAGCTACCTGGTCAGTCTATTCACTGCTACTCAGACTCCCAAAGAGAAACCCACACATGCCAAACTCAATCACAGCCCAGACAGTCATGGCCGATGCGCAGGGTGCAGTAACCTAGGGCCTGGTCGGAGAGGGAGAACCAGGATGTGGTATTGGACAGAGAAGCACTCAAAAACTAGGAAAAGAGCTGCCTCCATGCCAGACTGTTCCAAGGAGAAATGGTGACTGATTTACAACAGGCTCCACATCATAGCTAAAATATGAACAGCTTTCCCTTCAGATTCTTCAAGCACCAGACGCAGCACAACCGCTGTGATGTATAAAAGCCAAGCCTTACATTTTATACCCATGTAACAGCAGTGAAGTGCCATGTTCAGGAAAGTAAGCAAAGAAGGAAGTTACAAATACACAGGAGGCAGTATCTCATTTCCTTTACATGCCTAACAGTTTGAATTAACGAACTATGCTTTGCCATAGATTAATTTGGATCAAACAATTCAGACTGAGAAATCCTTGGGGAACACAGCCTCATCTTTCTATATTGTTTCCAATAGCGAGTTTCATCAAGTTAGATCAGTCCAGCACGACATCTCCAAGTAGCACAGAAGACCACTTTCCCCATGTGTAAACCAAGGATGAGCCACAGCCAGACAGCAGCCCAATAAGCGCACTCTCCCCTAACACCCCCTACACCTCCCATCCACACCACCCAAGCTTATCAGGTGCTCACCCTGCTGACGAAGCTGCTCCAGGTAAAGTTTGGCTAATCTCAGCTTCTTTTCCTGAGCTGTCTCCTCGATCTCCTCTTCCGCCTCATTGTCTCTCTTCCGCTTCCCAGATAACGCAGGGCTAGAAAGAGCAGAAAACGAAGGGGGACAATTACACACAGGAATAATTTTCCCCTCTCTGCTCATACTGACTATACCCCAGACATGCTTTGCTACCTGATGCCCAGCCAAGACAAACTGCCTAGAGAGGGACCTTCAAGCACAGGGCAGTTGAAGTACATAAAAATCCCCACTGGTCTTTTTTAAAATGCAGGAACAGGACATTTCTACCCAATGTGAGTCATGTCAGCAGTTACACACTGACGGGGGAAGTGTTTCCACAGCACCCTGTACTTAGGCCCAATGTCGAGACAGCCTCTTCCACCCGCTTCCACCCGGCAGGGCCCATGAGAGCCTGGCCTGGAATCAAGCCCC